TGGCTGCGGGCCACATAGTACTCGCGGGCCAGTACTTTGAGATCCCTGGTATAAGATATTATCCTAGGAGATTATCCTAGGAGCCCTTAAATATTATGTAAATTCTGATAATGGACATTTCTTATTTGGATCCTTTTGGTCCATTCTAAACACTATTGAAAGCATTTTGTTATTTCCTTTTGATAAGCCTAAAATAAAACCTGTTGATCTTGCTGGAAATGTTGTGAGCTGAGAACTTACTGTGCTGACTGTTATAGAGTAAAATACATTGTTTTCTGAAGACTAAAGAGCCAAGACCCTCTATGTTATGGACAATAGGAGAGAGATGGGTTTTGTAGTTCTGTCTTGTTTTTGTTGTCCTAATACCAAAGAGCAAGAGAGTTTTGTCACCCTAGAACAAGAACATTGGCAGATTCAGCAAGTGAAAAAAAAGCCAAAATGTTCCAAAAGAAAAAAACGAATGCAAGCGCCACATCTAAGGACTGATAATCAGCAATATATAAAAATGTTGCTTTTGGGTAGTTGCTGGATGACAAGAACTCTTACCACTATCTCCGGGTTCCACTCTAGATACATCACACTGGCCAGACGGGGGACTGCAACTAGTTTTAATACGATTGTGTTGGGTACTGGTTTAATTCAAGACTTATATATATATAGACAGTTATAGACATATGTATAGACATGTGCTAGGATGTTTGATGTTCATTTTCTGACATGTTCTGTTGCGCCCACTCAGGGGGCTATACTTGTATTGCAATTTATGTATTATATACCAATAAAAATGATTTGCTAAAAAAAAAAAATGCATTCAAACACTTTAACTGCTAACAAAAATGTAACTTACTTGTGTATCACTGAGCTGTAGATCCTTAAATCATGTCTGAATTCATGCTAACACTGTACTTCCTTCTGGTGGTTGGCTACTTTTGTTCTCCATGGTCCCTGTGTGTGTTGTAAAGTACCCACCGCTCCAAGCTCACTCCCGTTATGGTCTACAATCTCATGTTTAGTTTACTGATTTGTATTGAGATTGTAGTCCATCACGGGTGCATGCATGCATTTATAAGGTTTAACTCCTGAATTCAGTGTCACTTTAAGATCTCCAAGCTGGCACTTTTTCCTGTGAGGGCTGTTCTGTCATTCTGTGTTCCAGCCATCACTTACCTGCCTCTGATCTTAGAGCTGCAAAAGGAAGTCGATGATTAAAGACTTCCCTTTGCCAGGCACTGTGATCACAGGTCTGAACAGGGAATAGATAGCTATGCAACACCCACCAGCTAGCACTGCCTGTGTGTCCCACTGTAATGAAGGAGTAAATAGGGGAATATCTCCATTTAGATCTACCAACCCAACATATATTATTTGTATGGGCCTGGGATGCAGGGTTTATTTGTCCCTCTCCCTTGCACAGGTATAAACATGCATTCAGTTTAATTGAAAGTGCTTATGTGTCAGTCTAAAAAACAAATCAGGTGATTGGATTGTGCCAGCACATCCTATTGTCCTCTAATGTTATTGATCAGCCTTAGATATATTGTACTACATAAAAACATTTTTACAAGCCAATCATGATTATTAACCAAGTTACTGTAGCCTTAGTCCAAATCTGAGCCATTCTGAAGCATGTAGTGTTTCACTTTCCTCTGCAGAGTAACATCTGGGAGCATTGTGACAGGTAATAAATAAAATTGCAGCAAATCACAATTCAGCAAGAGACACCATAGGAGTCAGCAAGGAGATTTGCCGCATTCTCATAATCATGTACTTGTTTACAGTTTCATCAAAAAGCTCATTTTAATATAATTTCTAGGTTTAATATAAATAATTACTGCATTGAAAACAGACTTTCAGCTCAAGCTTCCATAATATTTATTTTTAATATCCTAACCCCACATTAAAGGACCAACAAACCTAAAATACTATAATTTGTTTAAACAGTTTTTAAAACTATTGGCCAATATATAATTAGAGTAATTTACCCCCTGCTGCATCATATAGTATAAGAACTTTAAAGGTTATGCATTAATGTGCACTTTTATATAGGTCATGTAGTTACTAGGTGACCTCGTTTGTCACTTTATGCCTAGAGTGCTTATTTCCTCTTAAAATATTAAGGTTTTAATATGAAGCAAAGAAAATGTGTGTCTGAGGGCATTTACAAATCCATACTGTTACTGACCTTCAAAAATTGTATCATTATTATAAGAAAAAGTATGTCCAGGCATTACCTAAATTAACCCCTAACCTCCCCCCCCCCCCCCCCCCCCCCCAGCAACCGCCAGGCCC